TTAGCAGATTGTTCCACTGTAGAAAATATCCAGAGAAAAAAAGAGATTATCAGGACAGAAAATCTGTTCTGTAAATAATGTCATAACCCAGTGTCAGGGTCTAAACTGCAACTGTCACCCACCCTCCACATCTACATACACACACACATACACACACACACACACACACACACACACACACACACACACACACACACACACACAGTTCCTAGGCCGCGCTGGGTTTTCTCACTGCTTTTGAACAGACTGTTCTCTGTCCACATCGGCTTCTGATTCTGTCTGACCTGGAGCTGACTCATCAAAGACGTCAGTTTAGACATTTCTGCTCCCTCCCACAGCTTGGGGACCACCAGAAGGCTTATGGCCTTTTTAGGGGGGGTTGTCTACCTCAGATGCCATGTGAGCCCCTAAACAGCAGAACTGCCCTTTGTTTCCAGCAACTGCACAGGCCCTGGTTTGGAACGGACATCACAGAGTAATGTTCAGGGAAAAGGGCGCTGTATTCCCTGTGCTGAAAACACTGCACTCCCCGAGGGAGGGGCAAACCCAGTCTTGAGTTCTTCCCACTTCATCATGTGTGCTTTGTGGACTGGCTACGGACCTGTGCACAGATGTCTAAGAACGACCATCTCGGTGTTGCCAAACCCAGCACCAGGTCACGCCATGGTGAAATGTCAAGAGGAGCTTCAGTGGCTGCAGGGTCTCTCTGATCTGCCTTGACCTCCTAAACAAAGCAAAAGCCCCTGCCAAGGCAGCAGAGCAGTCAGGAGAGGGGTGGGGTGAGATTCTGCTTGCTCGTTCTTCTGTTATCTAGCTAGTAACAAAAGCAAAATGTTAGAGTAATAATAGTGGCTAATGTAAACTTTCACCTTTTCCAACACTTAGTATTTCTTGGAGTAAATATCTCCCCCTATGCCTGAGGAACTAGCTGTCACCTTTCTGAGGCACAGGTTACCCAGCAAGTGGCAGTCAGGATTGTAACCAGATATTTGACTCCATCATCATGGTTTTTGTTGTTGTTTTGTTTGTTTGTTTTTGAGAGACAGGTTTTCTCTGTAGCATGAATTCTCTTTGGTCTTAATAATAAAAACCCGGAGTCAGCTATCAGGGGGTGAAAATTAAAGGATCAGTCTTGTGTGGCCTTGAACTCACGGAGATCCACCTGCCTCTGGCTCCTGAGAGCTGGGATTAAAGGTGTGTGCACCATGGCCTGCTGTCTATGGCTAACTAGTGGCTACATCCCCACTCTGACCCTCAGGTAAGCTTTATTTGTTAGATCACAAACAAAATATCACCACGTTTCTCTGTGTAACAGCCCTGACTATCCTGGAACTCACTCTGTAGACCAGGGTGACCTCAACTCTCAAGAGATCCACCTTCTTCTGCCTCCCAAAATCTGGGATTAAAGGTGTGCACAACCACTACCCAGCCAGCCCATTCTCACTGAAGCATATTCATTTGGAATTTATTCATTTTATACATATATATATATGTACATATGTATTTATATTTAAGGGTTTATTTGTGTTTATGTGAATGTATGTAAGGAGCCGGAGGAGGCCAAAAGAGGGTGTCAGATCCTCTGGAACTGCAGGAACAGGCTGCTTATGGAAGCAGAACTCAGGTCCTTGGAACAAGCAGAGAGTACTCTTAAATGCTGAGCTATTTCTCCAGGGTAATTTTGCTGTTTTTGAGGCAGGGTCTGTACATAGCTCTGGCTGTCCTGGAACTCACTATGTAGATCAGGTTGGCCTCTGTCTCCAAAGTGCTGCTGGGAGCCATTAGAATTATTCATTTTATTTTATGTGTAAGTATTTTGCCTACATGTATGTGTGTACATTACATTTATGCTTGATGTCCACAGAGTGAGTTATCTGCAGAAGAGGACATCAGATCATCAGGAACTGGAGTTTCAGATGGTTGTGACTTATCATTTGGGTACTAGGACTCAAACTCAGGTCCTTTGAAGAGCAACAAGTGCTCTTTACCACTGAGCCATGCCTCCATCCCCTTTATTTGTTTGTTTGTTTGTTTATTTATTTTGAGACAGGGTCTCACAATGTAGGTCTGGCTGGCCTGGATCTTGCTATGTAGATCAAGCAGGGCTTGAACTCCTAGAGAGATCTGCCTGCCTCTGTATTTTTAATTTTAGTTATGTGTGTATTTGTGTGTTTATGTACCTCTGTGTGGGTTTGTGCACATGAGTGCAGTGCCAAAGAAGGTCAGAAGAGGGCGTTATATCTAAGGAGCTGGGGTTACAGACAATTGTGAGCTGCCTGATGTTGATGCTGGGGGCAAGCACAACTTCTTTGCAAGAGCAGCTCATGAACTACCGAGTCATCTATCCAGCCCCTATAGGCAGAAGCTTTCATGTGTCCTGGCCGGTCCCACAGCCGCTTATCAAATAGTCACTCAGAGGCTCAATACTAATTATAATTGTTTGACTAATGTCTCAGGCTTCTTATTAGCTAGTTTTTACAATTTAAATGAACCCATTTATATTAATCTATGTATTGCCATATGGCTTATGGCTTTACTGGTCTGTAGGCATGTTGTTCCTTGGGCAGCTGAATGGTGTCTCCCTGACTCTGCCTTCTTCCTCCCTGTATCTCTGCTTGAATTTCCCACCTAGCTATATTCGGTATATTCTGCTCTGCCACAGGCCAAAGCAGCTTTATTAGTCAACCAATAAAAGCAACACATATTCGAAGTGTACAGAAGGACACCCTGTATCAACCCTCCTCATCTTGAATGTTAAAGTCTTGGATGTGGTAGTATACCGATACATTTAATCCCAGCACAGAAGCAGACAGAGCTCTGTGAGGCCAGCCTGGTCTACATAGCAAGTTCCAGGACAGCCCTCAGCATCCCTCAGTGCCATCCATGTAGGTTTTTGCTTTTTTATTTTTATTTTATTTTATTTTTTGGTTTTTCGAGGCAGGGTTTCTCTGTGGCTTTGGAGGCTGTCCTGGAACTAGCTCTTGTAGACCAGGCTGGCCTCGAACTCACAGACATCTGCCTGCCTCTGCTTCCCGAGTGCTTGGATTTTAAAGGCGTGCGCCACCACCACTACTATTACTGCTACTACTACTACTACTACTACCACCACCACCACCAGGTTTTTTTTATTTTTTAAATTAAATTAAAATTTTTTTCTTTTCGAGACAGAGTTTCTCTTGTGTAACAGTTTTGGCTATCCTGGAACTCACTCTGTAGACCAGGCTGGCATTGAACTCACAAAGATCCACCTGCCTCAGCCTCCCTAGTGCTGGGATTAAAGGCGTGTGCCCCCCTGATGGCTTTTTTTTTAAGACAATAATAATAATTTTAAAGTTATTTTCGTTTTTTTTTTTCCATGTGTTTGTATGGTGCACATGGAAGCCAGAAGACGGCATTGACTTCCCTGAAGCCTGAGCTACAGGAAAGACACTTAACGTAGGCGTTAGGAATCAAACTTTGATCCTCTGGAAGCACAGCCAGAACTCTTAACCACGGAACATCACTCCTGTCCCTTGTTTGCTTATTTGGAGACAGGGTTTCTCTCTTGGCCTCTCTGGAACTCTGTAGGCTAAGCTGGCTGGCCAGCAAGACCCTGGGATCCACCTTCTCTGCCTCCCCAACACTGGGATTACACGCTAGAGCCACTACCATCTGCCTTTTTATGTGAGTTCTGGCATGGACTTGGGTCCTTATGCTGACACACTGGGCTTTTTTTCTTTTCTTTTCTTTTAATTTTCCACTTTTTGTTTTGAGGCAGGGTCTCATCTGGCTTTGAACTTGTGATCCTTCTGCCTGAGCATCCCAAGTAGTTTGGATGACAGGTCTACACCACCAGGCTCAGCTTAAGTCTACCACTTTATTAAACACTTAGCAAGAAAACAGGATCATAGGGAGACTTAGTGACTGTCAAGGCCACTTGAGTTCAGTGACTCAGTCTACCCTGTGGGGCCTGTATTTGGTGTGATAACCATTCTTTCCCCCACTCATTTACTTTAAAAATTACTCTGTGTGTGTGTGTGTGTGTGTGTGTGTGTGTGTGTGTGTGTGTGTCCTTGTGCACAGGTCATAATGCAAGTGTGGATGTCAGAGGACAATTGGAGGAGTCTGTTCTCTCCTTTTATCATGTGGGTTCCAGGAACCGAACTCAGGTCATTAGGCTTGGCTGCAAGCCCCTTTACTTGCTGAGCCATTTCACCAGCCCTCACTCGTTCAGTCTTTTACCCACCTGAGAAACTCATGGTGGAGCCCTGTACGGTCCTCCCTCTCATTCTGTCCCTCATCAAGCAATACTCTCCAGGGCAGGTGGAGTGATTAGGTAGATTTACCCCTCTAAGTGTGGATCTCCATCCCAAGGACTTTTTTTTTTTTTTGGAGGGGTTTTATGAGACAGGGTTTCTCTGTATTGTTTTGGAGGCTGTCGGTCCAGCCTGGCCTCGAACTCACAGAGATCCGCCTGCCTCTGCCTCCCGAGTGCTGGGATTAAAGGCGTGCGCCACCACCGCCCGGCTCATCCCAAGGACTTTCACGTACACTTGCTCTGGGGCAGAGGAGCCAGGTAAAGGTCAAGACTCCTCACAAAGGTTCCCTGAGTCTCCACAAACTCTGGTTTCTGGATTGTGTGGTATTGCTACTACCCTGTTCCCAATGATGATTCACATCCAATTTATGTTGGTCCTAAATCGGTCAGGCCGAGCAAGACAGCTGGGTCCATAACAAGACCTGGGCAGTTTTGTTGGGAAAAGCCCTGTTTTAATCCACCAGTCTCCATGTCTCTTTAGCCATTTCCACCTCCACCTTTGCATAAAGAAGAGAAAAAAAGAGCCAGGCGTTGGTGGGCACGCCTTTAGTCCCAGCATTCGGGAGGCAGAGGCAGGCGGATCTCCGTGAGTTCGAGGTCAGCCTGGTCTACAGATCGAGTTTCAGGACAGCCTCCAAAACAATACAGAGAAACCCTGTCTCGAAAAAAAAAAAAAAAAAAAAAAAAAAAAGGATCCAGAAGAGATGATGCAGACTTTTATTGGACGTTTAAGGAACTGGCCCACGTGGGTCAGGGGTGGGGAAAGAGGCCTCTTCAGGGCTGCCTGGAATATTGCTAGCGGTCATCATGGCCATGAAGTGGTGCTGGAGGAGACATCTGGGGCCTTTCACTGCTTTCCAAGGAATTACTCTGTCTGGGAGAGTTTGCCTCCAGCATCTCCATCGTGATTGCTGTGTTCAAACGCTGATGGTCAGGTGACATCTCCTTGGAGCCTGAAAAACAGCAATCTGAGGTGGCATCCTCCTGCAGCCCCTTCTACCCACCATTGTCACACCCCTGGCCTACTTCTCTGATCTGAGCACCTCCCTGTGTTCACCGTCTTAAGTGTACCATTTGTAAACACATACATAACACTATACCACACCACGCAGTAGGAACTGCCCATGTTTCTCTTTAATAAGAGACACCATTTCTAGGAGAGAAAGAGCTGACCGACCTTCAACATAGCCCTAGAAAGGCTAAAAGCCATTAAAAAATTACAAGTCCATTCTCTAGAGGAAGACACAGGCTTGTTACACATCCAGAATGCAGAGAAACCCTGGCTGTTTGGGAAAAAAAAATTCTGTTGTTCTCTGCTTTTAAGAACAGAGTCTAGCCGGGCGTTGGTGGTGCACCCCTTTAATCCCAGCACTTGGGAGGCAGAGGCAGGTGGATCTCTGTGAGTTCGAGGCCAGCCTGGTCTACATAGCCAGTTCCAGGACAGCCTCCAAAGCCACAGAGAAACCCTGTCTCGAAAAACCAAAAAAAAAAAAAAAAAAAAAAAAAAAAAAGAACAGAGTCTAGCTAGGCTGGTCTGTGGTGGCACACACCTTTAATCACAGCATTCTGGAGGCAGAGGCAGGCAGATCTCTTCGTTCAAGGCTAACCTGGTCTTCGGAGCAAGTTCCAGCCAGGTCTACACAGAAAAACCCTGTCTTGATTTTAAGAAAAAAAAAAGGAAGGAAGAAGGAAGGAAGGAAGGAAAGAAAGAAAGAAAGAAAGAAAGAAAGAAAGAAAGAAAGAAAGAAAGAAAGAAAGAAAGAAAGAGGAACTATGCCATGAAAACTAAGATTCAGGGCACCAAAGACTTCTGTCATCAGACATTTGAACTTAGGATGTTCCTGTGGTGACCAGCCTAGTTAGTGTTGGAAAGGTTCTTTCCTGTTTGGAGATGAGTCAAGACTAACTTATCACTGACACCTGTGACTAACAGTGTGATTCACAGGTGTCACCCCAAGTGTGCTTAGTCAAGAAACAGTGGGATCTGAGGTGACTGAGCCCTACAAAAGGTGGGGGTGGATGGGAGTATGATGTGGTGGAAGCCACCATAATCGCAGGGTGGCTGTTCTAGAGAACTGTCTGTGACCTCAAAGCCAAAGGCCTGACCATGAGCTAGTCTGGGGACTCCAAAAGAGTTGGTAGTAGCCACCTGTCACACCACTCTTTCCTCATCATTCAGAGAGGTAAACACCACACACACACACACACACACACACACACACACACTCGAGAAGTACAGTGATTGCACTCTAAAGCCTGGGAGATCTGGCTGGCATCCCAAGCACACACTCTCATTGTCTGTGGGGACATGGTCACTTCCCCTGCTAAGTCTTGTTTTTTCTCCTGTAAAATGGGAGCCATGATCGCTCCTGTCTTACTGAAGAGCAAGGCGTTAAAGCAAATGGAAGCGGGAGTCTGTAAAGGGGAGGAGATGTGGTAAACACACTTAGTGGGCCCGATCTCAGCTGCTCCTGGCGTGGTGCTGTGGGCACAGAGGAAATGGGAGGGCAACACAATGAAGACCTAGGGACTAGAGCTACATTTGTGCAAAGGGCAGAGAGGGAAAAGCAATCGTTTCGTAAAAGGTCAACAGATGCACTTTCCATCTTTTAAAAAGTGAGAAACAGGCTGGGCAGGCGGTAGTGGCACACGCCTTTAATCTCAGCTCTCGGGAGTTAGTTTGGTGTGTGTGTGTGTGTGTGTGTGTGTACCAAGTGTGTGCAGTACCCTCAGAGGGTATCAGGTCCCTGGAATTAAAGGAGGTTGTGAGCTGTGAGTGTCCATTTTTAAAAAGTATATCATTATTCTCTTTAAAACTGTGTGTGTGAGCCGGGCGTTGGTGGCGCACACCTTTAATCCCAGCACTCGGGAGGCAGAGGCAGGCGGATCTCTGTAAGTTCGAGACCAGCCTGGACTACCAAGCGAGTTCCAGGACAGCCTCCAAAGCCACAGAGAAACCCTGTCTCGAAAAACCAAAAAAAACAAAAAACAAAAAAACTGTGTGTGTGTGTGTGTGTGTGTGTGTGTGTGTGTGGTGGTGGTGGTGGTAGTCAGATAACAACTCTGTTGAGTCAGTTCTCTCCTCCATTTTAGCAGTCTAAAGGGTCTATCCTCCTCAAATTGCATTCTCCTGATTACTACGCTGATAATCTCTCCATGTGCATTGTGAATTTTGCTGCTTTGACTGTTTGTTTGTCTGAGACGGTCTCATGATACCAGGTTGGCCTCAATCTTGATATGTGAAACAGGGCAACAGTGAACTACGGGTCTCCTATTTTTTTGTTTTTGTTTTTTGTCAAGACAGGATTTCTCTGTGTAGCCCTGGCTGTCCTGGAACTTGTTCTGTAGACCAGGCTGGCCTCTAATTCAGAGATCTGCCTGTTTCTACCTGGTGTGCTGGGATCAAAGGGCTACCACCATCCAGCAATCCTCCTATTTCTACCTCCCAAAGGACTGGTATTACAGGCCTGTGCCACCACACCAGGCTTGTACTGGGCTTTTATTATGATTACACTTTTCTCATTTGTTTAAAGATGTGTTTTTATATCCTGGATCTCAGTCCTGCTTATCTACAGCAGTTATGTAACTATGTTCTATAAAGTTCCCACAAACACTGAGTTAGCAAATGCTAAAACACAGCTAAACCAGGCTTGGTCACAACTTGGGGTTGGAAGGAGGATCAGGAGTTCAAGGTCATCCTTAGCTACATAGTTCCAAGCTAGACTGGGCTATACGAGACTGTCTTCTGGGAGACTATGAGATGAGGCTTCTGTGAGCCTTTGGTTATCATATTTTTTTTTCGTGTTTTTTGAGACAGGGTTTCTCTGTATTGTTTTAGAGGGAACTCGTTCTGTAGACCAGGCTGGCCTGGAACTCACAGAGATCCATCTGCCTCTGTCTCCCGAGTGCTGGGATTAAAGGCATGCGCCACCAACACCTGGCGGTCATCACATTTTTGTCCAACAATTAATACTTAACTTCTATGTGATGTTGATTAAAGACACTTAATTTAATATATGCTTCTTTTTAAAATGTTTATTTTATTCTTATGTGTATGGGTGTTTTGCCTGAATGTATGTCTATGTACCATGTGTACGCCAGGTGTTCTGGGAGATCAGAGGAGGGTACTGAAGCCCCTGGGACTTAAGTTATAAATGGTTGTAAGCCGTCATCTGGGTGCTGGATAGTCTAACCCAGGTCCTCTGGAAGAGCAGCCAGTGCACTTAACTGCTGAGCCATCTCTCCAGCCCCATGATTTAATAAATATTTTTGATTTATTAACATTGAATTCAAATTCTCAAGTCAGACATTTAGCACTCTGTGTTCTTCACAAACTACACGGTGTTCTTATGCTGGGGCACTAGACAGCACTTGAGACCTGTATCCCAGGGACATTTCCACAGGGTGACCATCAGTGAGCATCACAAACATGGACTCCAGACAGACACAAAGAGAACACATGTTTACAGAGTGTAGCCTTGATTGACATTGTCTGGGACATGTGCATCTCAAAATTTTGCCACTCTGTACATACCCACATCTGTAATAACCTCATAAGTGCCTCAAGTATTTATTTTGAGGTTACAAATACATTAGCAAATAAGCAAGTTCAAAATTATACAACCTGAGTATAGAATTACTATGGGGGTAGAGGCTTACATGCACACACACGCACACACACACACACACACACACACACACACACAAATGCACAGGTACCTACACACACAAAAAATCTTTGTAGTCTATCATTGTTTTTTAACTATACATATGAGGTCTTATATCTTTTGCGTTTGATTTAAGCAAATTTGTCAGTTTGTTCTGCTTGGATTCTTTTCCTAGTCTCGACTCCACAGGCAGCCAGATGAACCTTCCACTCTCAGCCATCTTCAGGATCTTAGAAGGTTTAGGGCTGTTGCTTGTTGCCCTTTTAAGTTAGAAAATTAATCTCTTACAAACGATAGCACTCAGTGCTCTCCATCTTGCTCTGAGACTGAGGGATGACCCACCTGCCCCTCTCTCTGCCGGACGCTTGCCATCTCTGCCTCTGCTGCTCAAGTTCCTCTCCTACCCTGCTGGCCCTAATCCTTGTGGCACACTGGTGAGTGACCCTGCTGCTCCCCGGGTCTCAGTCAGTCCTGCCCACACCTCTACCCATCCTGCCTTCCCTCTTCCGTTTTACCTCACCATTATCCCCACTGATAAGACACTAACTAAAGCCGGGAAAGTTGGTGCACAGCCCGTGTGACTCTGAGAGAAAAGCATGGGCTGGACCTCATTTCGAGTGTCAGTTGGGACTCCTGGAGTAAGTCTCCAGTTCTCTCTGCACCCTGTGAAGTGGGGACGGCACCCACCTCAGCTGCTGTTCACTAAACAGCACTGAGAACTCTTTGGCCAGCATGGGCTTGGCTCTTTCTCTCTTAGTTCCTCATCAGAGGTTATAAAATGTGCAGTATGGACTTAGGAAAAGGCAACACTTTTCTTTTTGTCACCTTTAGGTTCTCAATGGCCCAGACGCATGAAGGAATGGGTATTCAGTATAACAGATTATGAAAAATAAAATCCCATATTCGGTTTCTCATTAAAAGTTGATTTTGAGAAACAGCAAGTTTGTCTTACTATCTCTGTTTTGTTTGGGAGAATATGAAACACAGTTTGCATACCCTAAGGCCAAAACAAAAACACTATTTTGGAAAATCCACCGTGGGTAATCTGTGTGAGAATAGCGTGCCAGTGGCATTAGAGACCCCGGTGAGGACGAAGTATATGAGTCTGTGTCTGAAATGTTCAGCTTGCAGACCTCCTGAGAATCGGGAATGTTCCAGAACACTCAGGAGGCGAATGCTCTAGATCTCATTTCTTCCTTCCCTTTCTTTCACTTTCTTCTTTTATTCTCCTCCACTTTGAGACAGGTCTCACTATGTAGACCAGGCTGGCTCAATCTCAGAGATCTGCCTGCTTCTGCCTCCTGAATGCTGGGATTAAAAGAAGCCTCTCACAGGTGTGGCCCGAGAGACCTCATTTCTAGTTATCCCTCCTCCATAAAGAAAGGTTTGAGCCCCTTACAAGGCACCACGCGGCTTCAGCCTTACCTGCCATCTGTAAGCTTAAGCCTGGGTCCAGCTTTGCGTGGGGCTTTGAACTGATGAACAGGTAGCAGAGCACACAAGCAGTGACAATGAAGGCCAGCAGGACCACTGCTGCTGCGGAGAGGCCCACGAGGGCTCCGATGCTGGGGAGAGAAGACCACAGGGGGCTGAGCGCTGGGGCCAGAGAAGGCAGAAGAGTGAGCAACAGGAGTCAGCTTCCACTTTCCAGACAGCACCTCAGGAATGTCAGTGGGAGTTCTTCTTCTGGCTTCTACACGTGTGTGCTCCCCAGACAATCACATGTGCACACACTAACACGTACACACATATAGACACATTCTTACAAGATGATGAAAAGTGAAAATGGCAAGGCAATACTAGACACAAAGCTTAGCCCAAACTTCATATATATATGAAGTTGAATGGAAATATAGCAAACTGCTATCAAGCTGTCAAGCTGTCTACATGCAGGCTGTAGACGTCCTGGTCATATCCCTTTGGGTTCTGTCATTGTGGAATATTCGTACAGTTTCAGTTGCCAGTGCCGGTAGCTCTTTGCCTGAGAACTTTTTTTAGACCCAGAACAAAGCTCTGCGCATTGGACAAGTCGGGGGTATAGGATAATTAATGCTTCCCTCCCTGACCCGCCCTCAACCACAGTGGTGTATGCATCCCAACTCCTGTGTCCTCTGGTGGTGTAACTCTGAGGTATACACAGTGTGCTGACTGGCAGAGCTAAGTGCTGGTCATCTCCTTGTGACCTATTGATAGCATAACCTATTCTTGGTGTTTTCTTTCTGTGTCTCATTTTCCTACCCTCTATCAGTGTTTTCTGGGATCACTTTCCATAAAAACTACTTAGTTGGGTGTAATGGCGCACATCTTTAATCCCAGCGCTCAGGAGGCAGAGGCAGGAGGATCTCTGTGATTTCAAGTCCAGCTTGGTCTACAAAGTGAGTTCTATGATAATCAGGACTGCTCAGAGAGACTTTGTCTCAAAAACCAAACTAAACAAGCAACAAAACCTCTTCATCATCAACTCTTCAGCTTAAAGCACAAACCAACACACGCCAGCTCTTCTGGGATCCTTTTGTTCTGTCTTTCTCCATATTTTCCACATTGATTATGTGGTGCTTTTAGTTCTTGTTGATACTTTAAATAGTTATTTTGGGCCGGGGAGGGAGCTCGCTTGGTGAAGTGCTTGCTTGACTTGCAAGCATGAGAACTCAAGGCAATACCCAGAATCCATGTGGTAGCACACACTTATAATCCAAGCCCCGCAGAGGTAGAGATGGGATGATCCCTGGGGCCCACCAGCCAGCCAGTCTAGCTTAACTGGTGAGCTCAAGGCTAATGAGACAACTTTCTCAAAGGAGGGGGACAGTATTCCTGAGAATCACACCTGAGGGTGACTGCTGGCCTCCACACATGCATACATGCATGTTCACCTTCACGTGCACACACATGCACGCACATTAAACAAAAATCCAGTAGTTTTCTCATTTGAGATACACTTACTGTTCTTGGGACTACCAGCTGGTGGACCTGTTTATGGGTGACATCTATGAGCACCAAGACAGGAAAATGACCTTTACAAGGATGAGGGATGGATGAGAAGACTGGAGGGTGAGTCCCTAACAGGAGGTGAGTTAGGGAACAAATGCTGTCTCTGAAGTGAGTTGTCCTTGGTGTTCTGTTTGGGATACAGAGAAAGGAACAACAGAGAAGGCTCTGAGGGGGAACCTGGTTTCGGTACTAGATGAGAGCAAACCAGAGGCCTCTGGACTTAGGAGGTTTCACTGCTGGACAGAGACCCACTGTGACTCCAGGGAAGGCACTGAAGCAGCCCTCGCAGTTTTTGAGATCAAGCACTTTTCAAAGTTTGAATCCTGGTTTTGCCACACACAAGGGAAAATACCACCTTGCTTTTCTGATCTTCATTTGTGAACGTTCCTATCTTACCAGGTGACCGTCAGTGTGCAAAGAGATGGAGTTTGCGGTACCTGAGTACCAACTCTGCCCTTCAGTGGCTTGCCTTCTGTCCCATTCTGCCAGGAAGAAGATGGAAGGTTTTGGCAACTGAACCAGATGGTGCAGTTATACCAGCTGTTTCTCTGCGGGATGTCTTTTCTTTCTGAGATGGTTAGTTTTTAAGGATGCCCACCCCATTCTCTCTATGGATACAGTGCTTACATGGAGATTTTTTTTTTGTTTTTTGTTTTTTAGGAGACAGGGTTTCTCTGTATTGTTTTGGAGATCCTTCTGCCTCTGCCTCCTGAGTGCTGGGATTAAAAGCATGTGCCACCACCACCCGGCTTTACATGGAGATTTTTATGCTTGCAAGAATGAGATTTCATGATAAGGGCCAGATGAAATCTGGAACAAAACAAGGTCTTAATGTCGCAGTGATGGGGCTCTGTCAGAAGCACGTGGGGAACTGTTTCAGAGTTCAGGACACACGAATCATCCTGAGGCTTCTCAGTTCTATGCTTAGCAACTGTCTTGGTGTTTATGAAACTTAGGTTAGAACCCAGGAAGTTGGGGTAGCAGTTAAGAGTGCCGGCTTCTCTTCTGGTATTCTGTCTCTAGCACTAACACGACAGCTTACGACCTTCTGTAACTCCAATCTCAGGGGTCTCCGCAGGCACTGTGTGCACTTGGTGTACAGGTATATACACATGAAAAACACCTACACTCAGCCACATCCAAACACCAAGAACCCAGGAAGTCACTTCACACACTGAACCTCTCATTTGCTTCTGGGGCCACGCTTACACAGCATCTGACCTTAGAGGTTTCCCTAGCCAACCCTTTCCTGAAACCTGTCTAAGCCACTAAACTTTAGTGATGAAAGCATCCCTCCTGGAGAGAGTTTCCAAGATAACAGGAAAGGTCACAATTTGTGAGTACATAGGGAAGTGATGGGAGAGGAAAGGACCACCAGCTTAGGGGACTACTCATCCTTGCATCCTAAGGGAACAACCCTGTAGCCAGAAGACAACAGTCAGGGTATGCTTTAGGAAGAGCCAAGTACAACAGTTGTAAGAAGTCAGAAAGAGTTCAGACAGTCATTGAACAGGGCAAGTCTTGGTTTGAGGTCATCTCAGCTCTGCCACTCGTCACTGGGATACTCCCAATAACAACTTAGCCCGTCTTAAGTCTCCCCGTCTATAAAATGGAGAGATGTCGTAGGGCTATGTATGTGTGGAAGTGTGTAACCTGCCGTGTCCTCTGCTGTCATAGTGCTAGAAGACTGGGTTCACTTCAGACTCTGAGCTTTGTGTCCCACACTTACAGATGTGAGGGAACTCTTTCCCACCGGGGGCCTACTCAATGCATTGAGCACCTTCGTGGGCAGTACACACTACTTCACTCCTGTCTTCTGCAAGGCAAGCATTAATAACACTGCTGTAAATTCTATATTAACTTTTTGAGACAGGATCTCACTGTGTCCTTGAGACTGGCCTGGCACTCATTAGTATCCCTAACTGGCCACCACATCACCTACTGTCTCTCTGCCTCAAGCCTCACAAGTGCTGGGCTTGCAAGTGTGAACCACTATGCTTGGCTACAACCGTCATTTTAATGTTAAGAAATAAGAGTCTATGGGATTAAACAACTTTTCCAATTCACAGGCTGGTGTGACAGAGCCAAGATTTGTACCAGATTCTGAGCACACTCAAAGCTCCACGCCACTCCTGTGCTCAGAGGCAACCATCTTCCTCCAGCTCTTATCTCAGAGCTAAACACAGTGAGACCCCAATGGATGCTGTACTGTTTCACACAGGAGCAGGGTCTGCCTCTCTAAACCAGTGGTTTTCAACCCATGGGTCATGACCTTTTTGGAGGTTGAACAACCCTTTCACGGGGGTCACCTAAGACCATCAGAAAACAGACATTTATATAATAATTCATAGCAGTAGCAAAATTACAGTTATGAAGTAGTAACAAAAATAATTTTATGGTTGGGGTAACCACAGCATGGGGAATTATATTAAAGGATAGCAACATTAGGAAGGTTGAGAACATTGCTCTAAATAGACTGGGAGGGATGGTGATAGGCTCAGTGTTAAAGAACTTGCCTATGATATGCCCAAGGCCTTGTGTTTGATTCTCATAAGAACTGTAGGTCCTCTTGCAGGGAACAATTGGTTTTTGTGTCCTTATTGCCCTGTACAAAGACCCTATAGCAAAGATTATAGTGAAGGGATGAATACATGGAACAGGAAAATAAATTGGTATTATTCCTTGGGTTTTTAGACAGCAGCCAAATGTGCATGATATGATATCCTGGTCATCTGAAAATGTTTTAGAATTACAGATTGAACACCTTAGAAAAGGCAGTCTTTGTAGTTGTAATTGGCATGTATCAAGTTGTTTTCATCTCTCTTTTGGTCATTGCCTCTGCCTTAATCAGAAATTAGGACAGGGATAGGTCATTTCCCCACTGGCAGATAGAGACATCTCAGTGGCTAATGATGCCCTTTTCCCACCCAGAAAGCACACAGCTGTGTGCTCATGCACCCTTACAAACAGGAACCTCTCGATGGACCATCCCATTTTTGCTGCTACCTCTTTCCCAGAGCAGGATGAGGATCAGGCTCTACTTTCTGGGCAAAGCCTTTGGGGACTCAGAGGGATTAAGACCTACTGCCCCTCAACTCTATACTTGGCTTTCAGGATTGTCAGAGCTGGCCCAAACAGCCCTGTCCTGAACAGCCAGGGAAGCTGAAGTGTTTTCACCCAGACCGCACTTTATATTAAGATGGCTGGAGCAGCATTATGCCACTGTGTCAGGAAGCCCTGACCTCCAGGTTCTTGCTTTAGTACAAGCATGGGGTACATCTTCAGTCAAGAGAGTGCGAGGGAAGGAAAAGCTGAGGCTGGCTGAGATGGAGTTGGCGTGGGGGTTAGGATGAAGGGTTGAGGTTGTGGTTTGGATGAAGGTCTAGACTAGAGCTTACTGAAGTCAGTATGTGGGTAAACAGAGGAGGAGGGTTTACAGGCAGGCTTGAGGAGGAGGCTGGGGCAGGTGACAGTTGGGACAGAAGTGGTAACAGGGTATAAGGACTGGGGATGGCAATGGGAACAGGCTGCAGATGGGTGGGCATCTGTGTGAGGACTAAGGGTAGAGTCCAGGATTCCTCTGTATGTCTGAGATAGTATTTGCTGTTAGGGCAAGGGTTGGATTGTGATTTGGGATCGGTTTGAGGGTAATGGCAGCATGAAATTCAGAATAGGGACAGAGTGAGAGCTTCAGGGTAGTGCCAGTCGGGTTCAAGCATGGTTCCAAATAATTGTTGGGGTCAGTATGAATGAAGAATTGAGATGGGGCTTCAAGAGTGTAATGGGTTAGTGATAAAATGAAGTAGGGTCAGTACTGGCAACAGGAAAAAGGATGATTTGAGGGGTGGGCACTTAGATGAAAGTTGGAGGCGTAGCAAGAGTCTAGCCTGCGGGTGGACGAGGGGGTTAAGACAGGAGAAGGGTTCAAGGAGAGATTAGGGCCAGGGCCTGTACCTGAGCCACCACATGTAGCTGTGCTCGTAGGGGAAGAAGCTGTGCGGGTCGTCGCAGCAGTACTTGTGGTCGCGGAAGCCACAGCAGAAGACGGCAGCCGCCTCGCCCCCGGGCAATGGGCAGCTGAAGCCGCGCACCATCTCCTGCTCCGCGCTCACGTAGCTCGAGCAGGCGCCGCTCATCGCGCCTCCTTGGGTCACCAGACGGACAGCAGGAGAGAGAGGGACTGCCGGAGACCCAGCGGAGCCTGGGAAAGAGACTGGGGTCAGGCAGGCAGGGCAGCGTGCATCAGAGGTCGCAGAGAACCGCACCGCGCGCGATGCAAGGCGCTGAGGCTCGCGGTGAGGACGGGGCGCCCGGGGACCCGATTGCCAGGTGCGCGGGGGCGGAGGCAGGGGAGCGCGGGGACCCTGTCCAAGGCGAGACCTGCTCCCAGTCGCCGAGACACCATACCACGTGGACATTTGAGGTGACACCTTGCCCGGTCGCCAGGACCCTTCTCGGGGAGGTTGAGTGAAACAGACAGAGTGGGGTGCTACGAGGTTGATGAATACACTATTCGGTTTAACAGACAAAGCGACCTGAGGACCAGGGATTTTCATTGCATAGACGGCTGCTGAAGATCAGAGACATGTCCTTTACTTCCTCAGGCTCCCGAGCCCACGGGATTTCAACCCTGCTGTCTTCTGGCTCTCAGCAAACCTCTTTTCCAGTGGGCCTCATGTAGTCCACATTGACCTTGCCGTCTTGATGACCCTGCCTCCCACTCCCAAATGCTGTGATTCCGGGTGTGTGCCACCACACCCTGCTCTAGTAATCTTCTAAGTCTTCATTTCTACCTTCTTTACCTGTCCTTTCCTCTCCTGATCCCCCTTTCACCCACAATATTGACACACCCTGTTAGCACTCCTGCTATTGGCCGAGAACCATAGGCCAACTGTTCCAGGACAAGCCTTTTCCCTACTTCAGTTAGGGACTGCCAGCCTGCACAACATGTTCCCAGACTACAAGGGCAATATTCTCACGCCTGTCTGAAGGAGCTTCCAGAGCCTCAGTTTCCCCAGTGTACCCTGAGAGGGAAGACGGAAGATCTCTAAGGACTTCTCTAGTTCCCCAGAGCCTTAGCTGTGTGTTTTCACAGAAGCGAACAGTAGGAAATAGTGAATGTGATGCTTCCCTTTTGCTTTGGTATGTGTGTGTGTGCCTATGTGTGTGTCTGTGTGTATGCGTTCCTGTGTGTGCATGTGTGTGTGTGTGTGTGTGTGTGTGTGTGTGTGTGTGTGTGTGTTCATGGATCTGAAGCTTCCGGTATAAGCTCAGCTGACCCTTCCCTGCTTTTACCCATGCTTCTTTCCCTTTGCCCTCTCAGGCAGCTCCATGGATGCTGTTGAGTCCCAAGCCTTTGACCTGGGCACCTGAAAGGCTCAGATCTGCGCTTGCCCTTGAGAAACAGTTTTGTGGAGGAATTAGAGAGGATTCATCACCAAGGGGTCAGTGAGGGAATCAGCACAGGACTGGGCAGAGAAAGGGGGATACAGGGATTGCAGACATGGAGGGGCTCTAAGGGAACAGGGAAGGGTTTTGAGAGGGTGAAGGCTTTGAGGGTCACTGTGAAGTAAACAACAACAACAAAACTATAAACAAAAAGGCAACCCGGTTTGTTTTGTTTTTTTAAACACTTGATCATAGCCAAAAGGCCGAGAAGTGATTTTTTTGTTTTGTTTTGCTTTTTTTTTCCTTTTTTTGTTTTGTTTTTCAAGACAGGGTTTCTCTATATTGTTTTGCAGGCTGTCCTGGAACTCACTCTGTAGACCAAGTTGGCCTTGAACTCACAGAGATCCGCCTGCCTCTGCCTCCCGAGTGCTGGGATTAAAAGCATGTGCCACCGACACCCAGCAGTAGCCAATTTTGATGGCAATGTGCCAGTAGTCCCAGATATTCAACAGGCTGAGGCAGGAGGATTGCTTGAGCCAGCCTGCCAATACAGAGCTTGTCTCAGCAATGAACAAAAACTTAACCTTGGCATGGGGTATAGCTGAATGGTAGATTGTCTGCCTAGCATGCACGAGGCCCCAGAGTCTATCACCAGTACCTCAAAACCAAGAGGAACTGTTATTATTCCCAGAAAAGCCTTTTCCAAGCTGTGGTCACTGAAGACTGAAGAAAGTGCACTTTGACCTCCATCTACCAGAAGAAGGAGGGGAGGGGGCACTCCTTTGGGAAGGAGTGAGGCTTCTGCGAGACATGATCAGCTGGCAAAACTGGAATGACAATTCCCCAAACCCTTTTCCAGTCAAGAATTAGTTTCTTTCTCCTAATAACCCAGAGAAAGGACTATGCCCCCAAGAGAAACAAACACAATGTCACACAGTCATCCATCAGTGGCCCAAGTAGGAGTGGTGCCATGACTGTCTGGACAAGAGTACCTTTGGGTTCTTGACGAAACCTATGGGCCTCTATTAACAATGATGCTTTTAATTACAAAGAAGAAATGATTTAAGATCATAGAGGCTGTCAGTTGCATTGAATTGCAATTTAATCCTGCTGTTTAAAATGTCAACAAGATTGCTGAGTCTACGGAGTGCTATAATTTTGAGGTCATTTCTATAGTGACGAAGTTGTAGATACCGCTGCTGTTTTTTTGTTTTGTCGCTTACTTTGGTTCTAGAAGGAAGTGCTGAAGCCCAGTTGGAGGCGAGTATTAACAAGGATGTAGTTTTCCGGGCGGGAGAGATGGCTCAGAGGTTGAGAGCACTGGCTGCTCTTCCAGAGGTCCTGAGTTCAATTCCTGGCAACCACATGGTGGCTCACAACCATCTACAATTCAATCTGGTGCCCTCTGCGGGTATGTGGGCAGAGCACTGTATATGTAATAAATAAATAAAATCTTTAAAAAAAAAAAGGATGTAGTTTTCCCTTCCAAGTTCACAGACTGTTTCCACTACATCCAAATGCCATGCACTTGTGGTCCTGTGTTAAAATAATCTTTCTCTTGTCTAGCTCCTTCCTCAACATTTGCTTTTATTACACCGTTATGCTCCCTCTTAATATTTGTTCTGAAGACATTAATTGCTCACTTACTGTATGCTAGGAGCATGTATGTGTGTGTGTGGTGTGTAAGCATGCTCATATGCCATGATACACATGGCTTGTTCTGTCCTCCCATGACATATGGGTCCTGAGGATGAAATGCATGCTGTCAGGTTTGGTGGCAAGCACCTTTACCTTCTGTCTTCGTTAGGGTTTTTATTGCTGTGAAGAGACACAATGACAATGGCATTTTTGTTTGTTTGTTTTGTTTTTGGAGACAGGGTTTCTCTGTGTCTTTGGAGGCTGTTCTGGAACTTGTAGACCTGGTCTTGTAGACCAGGCTGGTCTCAAACTCACAGAGATCCTCCTTCCTCTGCCTCCTGAGTACTGGGATTAAAGGTGTGTGCCACCAACGCCCAGCAACCATGAAAATTCTTATAAAGCAAAAAACTTAATTGGAGTGGCTTGCTTACAGTTTCAAAGGTTCAGTCCATTGTCATTATGGTGGGGAACATGGCAGTGTACAGGCAGATGTGGTCCTGGAGTAGCAGCTGAGAATCCTACATCTTGCAGGCAACAGGAAGTCAACTGACACACTGGGTAGTATCCAGAGCACAGGAAACCTCAAAGCCCACCTCTACAGTGATACACTTCCTCCAACAAGGCCATACACACTCCAACAAAGCCACACTTGTCAATAGTGCCATTCCCTATGAGATTATGGGGGCCATTACATTCGAACTACTGTACCCTCTGAACCATCTTGCCCATGGAAAAAAACTTTTGAGGTAAGTGGTTATTTTCCCATTTCTCAGACAAAGTGACTGAGATTTGGAAAGGCTTCATGACCTTCCCAAAGCTATGTGGCAATCAGAGTTCTCCTCCCAAGATGAAGTCTGTGGGCCAAAGTCTCTCATCACCAGAAGGGACAAAGAATATAGAGAAGAAGGTGGACAGGGACATCTTACACCAACTGAGAACCAACTGTGAACTAACGGTGATATTTTCTTCCTCAAAAGAGAAATATTAGCTAGTGTAGTGGTGTGCACTTGTAGTACCTGCACGCGGTCAGCTTTTGGCACAAAGACACCAACCCCGTCCACTCCAGGTGGGAGAGCCAGCATGTTGTTCGTGTGGATGGAAGCCAGTCCTCAGGGAGGGAGCTTTCCCTCCACTTCCAGAATGATATTCTGTCTCCTTCTGAGACAGATCCAGCCAGCTTTTCCCACCCTTCCCTCGGGTTTTACTGGGTTTGCATGTTTGCTTTCCTCTGAAATCTTTGAGACACGTGAAACAACGAGAAGACTAGTACAAAGACAGACTCTCCACTCTGCTTAAAGTTCCCCTGCCTCCACCTCACCCCACAAATAGCCAGAGGGAACCATTCTCCTGAGCTTGCAATTCCTGAGCACTTGTTGATGCCACCACCTGCTTGGGACCTTTGCTTAAGATGTGGAAGTGTGTTACCAGTGGTTTAAGATTTAAGCACAGCAATCACACAATTCTTTCAGTGCTAGTTTTCCTCCTAGTCTTATGTCTGTGAACCTTGTTTATTCTGAACTTTGTTCTATCTTGATTTATTTTTGTGGAGGCAGGTAGACTTCTGTGAGTTCAAGGCCAGCCAGAGCTACATAGTGAGACCCCATTTCATTTTTTTAAAATTGCCACATTGCTTTCCAGAATTGCTGTACAGTTTTGTCTTTTCAACAATAGTTCTTAGTAGCCACAGTTCTGCAGTATTTTTACTTTCTCCTTTCATTAATATTATTTAAAAAAGATTTACTTACCTTTCTTATGTGTATGTGTGAGTATCTGTGTATATGTTTGCATGCAGTACAGCCAGCGCCAGAGGAGGGTATTGGGTCCCCTAGAACTGGAGCTGTGATGGCTGTGGATGGTTGTGATCTACCATGTAGGTGTTGGGAACTGAACTTGGGTCCTCTTAATGGCCGAGCCATCTCTCCAGTCCTTAATATTTGCCTTTCTGAGTCTGAATTATTGCATTTAACATGATGATTTCCAGTTCCACCCATTATCCTGCAAATGACCCAATTCATTCTTTATAACTGAATAAAACTCCAGTGTGGCTAGGCATGGAGCTCCAGTTCCAGGGACTCCAATGTCTTTAAGCAAAAACCCTCATACAAATAAAATAAAACAAATTTTAAAAATTATTTTTAAAAATAAAAAATAAAAACTCAGCAACAAACAGTAAGAAACCACTTATACGTGTAATGATTTCTGTCTTTCTGAGGCCTTGGAATTTGGAAGGTAGAGTCAGGAGAATCAAGGCCATCTTTGGCTACATAGAGAGCTGGAAGTCGGCCGGGCGTTGGTGGCGCACGCCTTTAATCCCAGCACTCCGGAGGCAGAGGCAGGCGGATCTCTGTGAGTTCGAGACCAGCCTGGACTACCAAGCGAGTTCCAGGACAGCCTCCAAAGCCACAGAGAAACCCTGTCTCGAAAAACCAAAAAAAAAAAAAAAGAGAGAGCTGGAAGTCAGCCTGAGATAACATAAAAACCTGTCTAAAAACAAGCTAAGCCTATTGTCACATGCTTTTAATCCCAATGCTTGGGAGGCAGAGGCAGGTGATCTCTGTAAATTTAAAGCCAGCCTGGTCTATATATCAAGTTCCAGGACAGCCAGGGCTGCATAGTGAGACCCTGTCCCAACATAAATATAACAAGAGACTCCATTTCCTTTATCTATTGACCTTTTAAAAATTACATTTATTTTTTATTTTACGGGAACTAGGGGGCATATGGGCCATGACTTACATGTGGAGGTCAGGGGACAATGTGCAGGAGGCAGGTCTCTCCTGCTACCACATGAGTCCTGATAACTGGACCCAGGTCATTGTGTGTCTTGGTGGTAAGTGTCCTTACCTGCTAAGCTATGTTCCCAGTGTACTCTGCTTT